GCTTCCAGAAAGAAGCAAAGAACCAGAGACATGAAGATTTGTGATGTCCTTTGAGTCCCTGTTTTCAGTCACCTCCAAAGTCCAGTTGCTTCTCTATCATCCCCCCAATGTGGCTCCTCAACTTTTGCAATAACTTTCTGGTATCTCACAGCCCTATTGATAGATTTCCATGTTTTCTCCCTCAAAGCCTGTTTGAAGCTAGGTAGTTTTCTACCATTTGGAAAACAAAGAAGTCCTGATGGATGCAGAATGGTGGAAAAGTCTATAAAGCTTTCAGAAAAGATGGAGGTTTTCAGTGATGCTATAAACTGTCTGCGTCTTGGATTCGCTCTAGTGTTATCTATAAGGGAAGCGGACTCATTTCATCGTAGAATCAAACGCAAAAAGGAGGCCCTTCTCTCACTGTTATTATTCCATTATCCTTGCATCCCAGAAAGTGTGGGACCCTAGAAAGCTTTAAGGTCAGCCACTACGATGCGTAGAGAACTCTCAGGACACAGTACTGCCAAACACAGCCGTAATAAACACGGTTGTTGTTCCCACTCCACACTTCACCCCTAAGCAGCCGCAACTGCAACTATCAGTGCCAAGTTGGTCGATGGACACAGAGTTCCATGTTCAAATTTCCCATTCAGTCGATCCATTCTCTATGAAGCCTTTCCATGCCCCACACATCTTTCAGGCCCCCACTCAACCCTTTAGAGCTTCCACCAAGTTTTCCTGCAAGCAGCTTGTCCCTGAGAAGTGGCAGAACCTGCCATGTTCCCTAACTAGGACACTCTGGTTTCCTATCCCTAAGTTTATTAACTGTGCAGATCCAGATACTCTGCCCCTCTCTCTCTCTCTCTCTCTGTCTCTCTCTCTCTCTCACACACACACACACACACACACACACACACCACGCAGATTCTAGCTCCATGCCTTCCTTATTACCAATGATACTATAGCCTCTGATTGGGTTGACTGATTTTGACCTTATCCGAGCATGTAATTCAAGCTAATTAACTAGTCTGTCATCTAGACACCAAAGAGAAATTAATACTCCATGAAAACTTAAATAACAAAATCGGTAAAGTACGAGTAAGTTATAAAGAAACAAGCCTAAGTTTAGCAGGTCATAATAGAGCCCTTTCTTAAGTCATAAAATTGAAAGGGTCAGGTGTCACCCTGTGGAGGAAAGATGGGAGTGACACCTTGCATTCAAGGTGTCTGCCCTTTTCACATCTTCCTCTCAGTGGTTTTCCTGGCAAACAATTTCTCTTTCATAGAAACCATAATGGCATTTGTTTTTACCATTCTACAATGAAAAATACAAGGACAGTGACTTTTATTAATATTTATCTTTATAGCCCTATGATAGAGAATGCAAGGGCTGTCCTCTTCTAGATATCTTTCAAGGACAGGACATTAAGATATATGTCCGAGGATATAGAGAGGAAACAACAAGCTTAAGTTCACTACGTAGTGGCACTTTGGCTTTTTCTATTCCCTGAGGCACCCTGGACTTATCTACAGCTTTTCCTTTTCTACTGTTTGCATTTAACATGACAGCTTGTCTGGGCACTTTGTTCAAAATACGTCTCATATTTCTCCCTTCTGTATAATGCCAAAGGTTCTCATTAAGAAGCTGGAGCATTTCAATAGTGCACCTTTCTGTTTAGTCTACCCCATGATGGACTGGAATCCTAAATTGTGGTGTTGTCCCCTCGTGTATAAACTAATATGGACTTGTTGTTTCCAACGTGAGATTTGGACTTCTCAGCTTGACTTTTGCAATTTATGTCTCTTCTCTCTCTCTCTCTCTCTCTCTCTCTCTCTCTCTCTCTCTCTCACACACACACACACACACACACACACAAAGACACACTTGCGCACACACACACACACAACCCATGCACATTCCGGCTCCATCCCTTCCGTGTTAACAACAATTGTACTACAGCTTCTGATTGGGTTGACTAATTTTGACCTTATTCAAAAAGCTATCCAAAGGTTAAACACGCAATTCAAGTTAATTAATTAGTCTGTCATCTAGACACCAAAGAGAAATTAATAATCCATGAAAACTTAAATAACGGACTCTGTATAGTTGGAATAAGTCATAAAGAAACAAGCCTACATTTAGCAGATCAAAATGCCAATTTATACCAGGAGATTCACCTTTAGGAGGACGTGGTTTATTTTAAAGGGAATAATAAAAATTATTTTGTTTTCTGGTAGAAAAAAATTTACATTTCACAAAACTATGATACTACAAAGAAATTTCTAACAGTTTTCGTCATGCAAATTATTTAAGGATAAATATGTATCTGAAATACAGTCTATTTTTGTAATTTTGAGTACATTTCCACATTCTATGGAAGTAGAAATGTAGAAATTTGAGCCAATCTGATTAAGACAGAAAGACAAATATCTTAAAAAACAGAATATCAGAGTGGAATTTTGTATTCCAAAAATCGAATTTTGCTGTCTCTACTGTTATATAAATGCACTGGTATGAATTAAGACACAGCCTCAAGAATGAGTGTGACTCCATAATTTTAACGTGTTGTGTGGAAGTGGAGTTCGTTCATTCAGTGAATAACCGATAATTAAACATCTAAACCTTCACATTGATTCCTAAGCTGATATAATCAAGAAAACAAACAAGGAAACAACCCCCTCCACCCACACAACTCCTGCACCAGTATGCTGCGAACTGTTTGCACAAAAACCCAGGCATGTTTACAGATCGTGAGCAGATAGAGACTACCCTTTCAGCCCCTATTAGATCTCTGATTCCTTAGTTAAGACCCTGTGTGCATATTGCTCCATAAAGCCTAAACAAGTGGAACCGGGTTTATAATTAAGTTTAGACCCTTTTTCATTAGGTGGCATTGTACACATTTTTGTATTCCCTAAACTCCAATTCAATACCGGATCTCAATGAAATGGCCAAATTGTTTGTGGGCTCCATCCACACAATTGCACATATGTGGCTCTCTAATCAGGGAGGATATAGATTTTTTTTTCCCACGGGTGGTCTCATTCAGTGCAGTGTCCCACCTGAGGGGGCATTCTGCTGGAAGTGCATTCATTGCTGGCAAGCTTAGCTGCATAAAATCACTAGCTTGCAGACACCAGCACATGGAATATATTCTGAAAGCCAGATAAGTCCTCCTGTACCTCGGAGAATAGAAAAAGCCGCAATACTCTTACGTGGTGAACCTAAGCTTGTGGTTTCCTCTCTATATCGTTGGACATGTATCTTAACATCCTGTCCTTGAAAGATTTCTAGAAGAGGACAGCCCTTGCATTCTCCATCATGGGACTATAAAGATATTAATAAAAGTCACTGTCCTTTAATCCTTTGTCCTGTTTAGGATTTTTTTTTCCCCTCCTTCTCGGCTCTCCTTCTGTTTAGTTTTTACTTGAATAGTTCATTACGAGTCCATCACAAGAAAGACCTCGACCCAGGTGGCTGTTGCAATGAAGACTCTAATCGGTTTGGGGAGCTCTGGTCCATTCTCAGATACACGTACAAATCTGCTACCCGGGTCCACCAAGCACGGAGACCGCGCGGAACACCATGTGGAAGGGCAGCACCCAAATGTCGGCTTAACCCCTCTAGTTGCTTTCAGGCCAGGACTTGACGAGGTAATTGACCCTTCTGTCACCATAACGACAGGGGCACGAAGCCAGAGACTGTTCACAGAATGAGGCACAGCCTTTTAATTCCTTTCTCTGGGCCGTCCTTTGTAATCTCAACAACACACAGCCCTGGTCTGGTTTTCGTGACACTCTAACTTAGGTTCTCTTTTCGGCATTTCCATCCAAGAACCACATGGCGGATGCAATAAAATGTTGGTGATCATTGAATTACTGTAATTGCTTATTTCACATTTTCATCAGACTCTTACTGCAAGAACATTTTCCAAGGATTAAAGTTTATCCCTCCCATCCCCCCCAAAAAAGGAAAGAAAAGAAAGTTGGAGAGAGAAAAACAATTGTCTATAAAAGAAATTTATACCCACTCTACATAAAGATTTATACCCACTCTATACAAAGAATGCACTCTAGTTTCTATAGTAGATACATCCATAGTTCCCAGAAATTACCTCTTTTCATTCCAGCAAGATTTCATTCTGTGTTTCCTTTCTCCTTGTCTAAAAACGGCTTATGGAAACGCTAGCTGAGAAATGCGATATCCTTGTGGCGTAACTTGGTTGGTCTTCATAGAAAATTTGAATTTGACATCTACAGGGATATGAAGCTATCCAAATTTTACTAGCACTGAATTAAGTTAATAGATTGAGCGTTACTGTGTTTAGAGATTTTCACTGCTGCTGCATAGAAAAAGGCCATTTTCTAAAAGCAAGCACATTATTCTCTGACATAGCTAGCATCATCAGACTGTATTTTGCTGTTTGATTGCAGAGAATATTGGAAACAAAAAGGGCCCAAATTTATGTGAACAAACAATGTGGGCTCTAAACAATGAAAGCCAACCATATTCAGAACCATCCCTTGCTTGGGTATGCAAAACAATCATTTTCTTTTTCCTCTTGAGACTCAGGAAAGGTGCTGATCTCTTATGTCGTTAAGGTAGAAGGAACCATTCCTCGTATCTTTCAGTTTGCAAACTCGAGCAGGATGAAGTACTTATTAATAATTCTGTTACTTTCTATTGATTCATTCCCTTACAGATGATTCAGGAATAACATATAACACTATCTGCTCGTACTGGTTATCATCTGCGAATAAAACACTATAACAAGGTTCAGAGAGCAATAGATGAAGACAATTAAAGTCATTAACTATAACCGTGTCCATCCAGTGGATGCTCAGTGAATACAAGCGGAACAGCTTGTCACAAGAACTGCATTCGGAAAACAAAAAGAAAAATGAATACACGGATTACAGAAAACGTCATGCATGCATGGGACATTATAGGACCTTCCTGGCAAACCTCTCTGTGACTGAGCAAGCGAGCACTCTTAATATTTTCTGCTTGCACTTACCGTCTTCCGTGGGCACGTAGATGTTTAGGTAAAGGCAGTCTTCGTTCTGGTCTTGAACGTACGTCATCAGAGTATCCAAATTGGCAGTGAACCAGATGGGCAGCATGTCGTGCAGTAGAGACCTCTCATCCAGATGCTGGGGGCAGACAGCAGCAAACTGAGTTGCATTTCGTAAGCCGGTCCACGAGGAAGGGGGCTCTGGGGGCTGAAACCGCCTCTCTCCAGTGGGAGGTGAGGCATAGGGGACCCCCAAGTATTGCTCCACCGGACCCAAAATCTCATTGGGCAAGGGTGTTCTTAAGCCCCGTATTTTGCCATAGTTGGTGTTGACGACCGGATACTGGGCGTGGCTGTCAATGAGGGTGAACTTGATGGCCAGGGCGGTTATCCACAGGAGGACGTTGGAATTCAGCATGATGCAGACCGGAGTAAAGAACAAAGGCAGCCATAGCAGTCCCCGGGGACTCGACATGGCTCACAGACGCACCCGCCGCCGTCCCAGAGACGCCGGGACTCCGAGGAGGAGACGAGGCCGAGAGGTGAGCCCGCCGACAGCGCAAGCCCCAGCTGAGACCCTCAGACTGAACATAGACAGAGCCCAAGGTTAAGAGCAAGCGAGACAGTTCCCATCGCGAGAGGGCAGCCCTCCCTTAATCCTGAAACCAGATCCCAGCAGGTGCAACGCTCCGAGGAAGCGGTGACCATCCAGCACCTCCAGCGACCACAATTCCTTCCTTACGAAAACTCCAAGGCAGCCTAAGGGGAAGAGAAAGCAGATAAGGATAATGAATACAATGCAACATTTTCCCTCGCTCCCGTGCAGTCTGCAACCTCCCTCTACGAAATTCTTATTCATGCATGAGCTTGTCCTTTGGCATCTCCATGCAGGAGATGTTGGCAAGAACCTCACCTGTCTTGCTTCATGCTGCACACCCCATCCCAAGGGACGATGCCTGAGACTTAGGAAACCCTCAACAAGTCTTTGTTGAATGAACACACAAACCCCCAAAGGTTGTACGGGTTACACAGATGATTCTAAGGACACCTCCCAATGTCACTGTTGCTTACAAGGTTGGTTGATCCAAAACACTGTCTCTCAAATACTTAAGGAAACTGTCACTTTTTCCTAAGGGGATGGATGTGCATGGAGCGCTAAAAATTTTTTTTCCAATATGAGGAAAATGGAAGCGCAGATCCAGGCTATCTGCCTTCATGACATGTGGATATTTACCAGGTACCAGGAAGGGAACATCATGTAACGGGAAGAAGGTATAAGCAGTGGACACTAATTTACTGTGGACACTGGTTTACTCAATTACGTATATAATTAGGCCACATTCCTCATCACCCTGAATTTCCACTTCCTTGCACGAAACTAAAGAAGATGGTATGTTGTAAGTACATGCTGTAGTGCTGCTCACTGGAAAACTTCATTCATAATTAAAAGTGTTGACACAATTATCTTGACTTTGGAGTAAGCCACTGCTCGCCTTTGAGGGTGTACTCTTCACCCTGCAGCCTGTTTGAAAAGCTGACGGTGCATTTGAGTACCTTCCTACCTAGCCAGGAAAGAGTCAACCTTTAAAGGGCCACCACCTTGATTTGTCTCGACATGGATGATGAGTGTCCCCAGGTAAATCACTGTTCATGTGACAGTAGAGAGCTCTTTGCAAGGTGGACAGTGTGATAAATGAGCTCTCAGGGATGGAAAGCATTTCATTAGATGTTGCAAAATCCTTTCATGCCTTTCAATAGAGCATTCTTCAACTCAAAAATAGGCACATGTGTTTATAAGGACTGTGTAGGGTTATTCAGAGCATTGGGGACTAGAATATAATCATGTGTTTCAATTAAGTCATCAGTTCAGCACAATGTCACATAGCAAGTTTTTTTTTTTTTTAAATAAAACATATCAGAGCTGGATTTATCGTGGAACGATGATGGCATCAGGGGAAATTACAGAATGCATGAAATCTCGGGCAAAGTTCATCAGAGTTGAACGCACTAAAAATCTGGATCGTAACGTTGACAGTGAAAAAAAAATAGCATCTCACCAAATGGCCGATTTATGTGTTTGTTTCTATCTTTGACTCCTACAGTCGACAACATTTGGATGTCTGCCACACAGCGATCCAATTTCTGAATAATTAAGAGGCAGACAAGCACAACGACGAGGTGATGACATGTTTGGGTGCCGCGGTTTCCCTGAAAGCTCTTCCGCTTCTCGACTAGAGGAGCCCTTCCCGGGGTAACAGGTGGCACCATTCAATTTTAATTCAGACCAACCTGGGCCGCAGAATGCTCTCTCTGTGAGCTCAGGGAAGGGCGTCAACCTCCATGGACTTGAGGTTGAAATGAAGGCGCCCTACCTGCTGCGTGGAGCTGAGCAGAGCAGGAGGTGAGGCTGCAGGCGGAGCGTGCACAGCGCACAAGATGCCCACCCCATAAGTACAACAAGCTGGGATGTTCAACACAGACCCGCCCCAGGGACTCGTGGGTCTAGGGACACAAGGTGCCAGCTCTGGTGTCAGCTCACTGTGGTGTTGAGCAGGCTTCGAGCAAGCCATTTAAATTCTCCGGCCCTCACTTCACTGCTCTGTTAACAGCTACCCTAGATTTAACGCGACAGTACGCTCAACGTACGGCACGGTCCCTAGACTAACACAGAGCTGAGTAAATGTAGCATCCAGTTAGTGGCTTTCTTCCAGGGCTTATACAGTGAACCCCATGAGGATTCTGGCTCACCCCTTACATTCTTGAACTAGACCAGGCTGAGACTATCTGTACGTCGCGTGTTGTATACGACTGACCAAGCTGGGACGCGCACCCAGACTTCATGCCTGGAGTTGTAAGATCAAGTCCCTTCTCTGTCTAAACTCGCATCCCACAACGGGGTCTGGAGTGGCACTAAGAGATGATGGACCGGCTGTAACCTAAGAGGCGGCGGCCAAGGGCATCTGCACACTTCCTAGGTCAAGGTCAGGCATTCGTAACATCCACAAGTTGAGGGATCTCTTTTTCTCTTATTTCCTCACTTTTTAAAAAGATTTGGCTAATTTGCAAATAAGTGATATAACCTAAAGCCCAAGGTTTCTCAATGGCAGCACCACTGACAACTTGGACTATATAATTCTTTGTTGTGGGGTCTCTCCTGTGCATCGTAGGGTATTTTGCAGCCCCTACTTACTAGAGAACTGCGGCTCCTCCCACCCAGGTTCCACTATCAAAAACGTCTCTAGAAACTTCTGAATCACACCCCCAGGTGACACTCGTTGATCTAAGCCGTAACTATGGACGCATGGTGGCTGTGTAAATGATTAAATGGATCTGTGGGCACATTCAGAAAACAGGATAAGTGCTGATATATATACATATGTGTGTGTGTATGTATGTGAATGTGTGTGTGTGTATGTGTATATGTCATATTCAAACATTTGGCAACTTTGAGGTTCTTATCATTATAAGAAATGTTGATTTTCAAAGATAAATCTATTAAATGTGCATCACTTAAGTATTTATTAATTCATTCTTTATTTATTAATTACTATTTATTAATCATTTCATCATCCTCATGAAAGAATCACTGTTAATTTAACCAGCGTCCGTCTTTGGGGCCAAAAATATAAAAGATCCCCCATGTGAATTTCACGAACTGAAAAAGGGGTGAAATGTTGTTATTCATAGACAGATAAGATAGATTTTTAAATGTCCCCAAATAAAAAGGAGATACTATGAAACGAATTCTAAAAATTCTAACGAATAAAAGATATTACGAAAAAAATTAAAAATCGTAACTTCACTGACTATATACTATACATGGGGAGTGAAGGCCTATATTGCATGGCTTCTCTGTGAAGATGGCAGCAAGTAGTCATATCTCAGAATGGCATTTTGACTTGATTTTTAACTTGATTGGGTGTTTCAGATGGTCCCCTGCAGGGCAGTTATTCTGCCTGAGGTTGTAATTAAGGCAAGGCTCACACCAGTCAGGCTGATCACATTATAAAGGGTTCAGAACAAAAAAATTGCACTAAATTCCTCTCTAAGGTATGCATCCCTCAAATTTATGAGATTGGTTTAATTGTAAGATACCTATTTAATTAAGGTAAGCCCTGATCACAGGTATTTTGGTATTTGGGCCTGATGAGGGATAAAATCACGTCTCCTGGGTGTTTACAGCCTTGCCTTGGAATCTATTAGAAAACAGGGAGGTCTGTGAGTGCATTAAAGAACATGAGAGCGTAAATGAGATGCAAGCAGCCTTCCCTGCATATGCCTTCCAGCCAGGAGGAAGGGCTGAGAGTCACCCCACTACCCCCTGCCAAGAGGTTGCTGAGAGCAAGAGGCACTTGGGAGAGCCACTTGATCTCATATGCATTCCGGAGAATCAAGAAGACAAGAGCAATAGACTCTGGTCCTTGTCCAAATCACCGAGCTCGTGCAGCCATCCTTCTCCACTGCTTGCTAAGAAAGCCCATAACAGCTACTCCCAAAACCATGGGGAACCCGCACATGTCTCCGGTTTTCCTCTTCTTTTGTCCCTGGTGAGGACACTCACATTTTATGGTCCCTGAGTGGGATGTATCTTTTGTTCTAAAACCCAAGGCTCTATCCTGTTACCTACATGAATAACCACCTACCCCCAGCCATCCCATGTACACACCCATAGCCCTCAATCCCTGCTGAAGCTTTACTCAATGCCAGCGTTCTGCCAGCGAGTCTATTTCTGTACTTGTTTATTGTCTAATATTCTGGTCTTGATTTCACCTCCCACACCAGCGAGATTATAATATACTTTGTCTTTCGTCAAATCTTAAGAGTTCTTCTCTAAACATTCATCTGTGTAGTTTCTATCAGTTCTAAAAATCAGATCTCATTTAAAAATCCACCATTTAGAACCACGATATTCAGCCATAAATTAAGTAAATGGAGAGTAAAGAGCCGTGGCCAGATACAGGGGTGCGTATCTATAGTTCCAGCTAATTGGGAGGCTAAAGCAAGAGGATTGCTTGAGCCCAGGAGTTTGAGTTCAGCCTGGGCAACACAGAAAGACCCAGTCTCTGTAAACAATAAAAAATAAATAAACGTATAACTTCAAGGTGGTTTTGCACCACATGGCAACTCAAGATATCAACTCCATCACCTTGTCTACCATTTCTGTTCTTCCACTGGAGGTTAATTTGAGTCACAGTGGTAGAAGCCAAAGTTTTCAGTAGGAGGCTTTGCAGAACTCAGACTAAACCCAAGGTGATAGAGTGGGTGCCTTACATGTTACTCAGTCTGATTGGATAGAAAGATATTCCTTAGGTGCATAGGCAAAAGATATGATCACAAATAGAACATAGATCTTTCTAGAGTAAATGATGTGGACACCAAGGTCCTACATTGGCCACATAAATGAGACAATAGCAAAATTCAGTCAGAGGGTGTCTTAGTCTATTTAGGCTGCTAAGCAAAATACCAGAGACTGGGTGACTTATGAACAATAGACATTTATTGCTCACAGTTCTGGAGGATGGAAGTCCAAGATCGAAGTACCAGTAGATTCTAGATTGCTGTATTTTCCTTATTACCTCATGTAGTGGCAGGGTCAAGGGATCTTTCTGGGGTCTCTTTCAAAATGTCACTAATCTCATTCATTAGGGATTCACCCCCATGATGTTATGACCTAATCACCTCCCAAAGGCCCCACCTCCTAATCACCATCACCTTGGGGCTTAGGATTTCAACATATAAATTTGGTGGGGACCCAAGCA